CTACTTGGGAGGCGGAGGCAGGAGACTCGCTTGAGCCCAGGAGTTGGAGGTTGCTGTGAGCTGTAATGCCACGGCACTGTACCCAGGGGGACAGCTTGAGGCTCTGTCTCAAAAAAAAAACCAAACAAACAAACAAAAAATTTTAAAAATAAAATATGAAAGAAAAAACCATTTGGTCCCATTCAAAAAACAAAACAAAAGTGCCCGCTTGTTCTATTACTTGAATTAACTGCCATCCTTAGTCATCTTCATTCAAGGTGATTTTTAATATATAATTTTACTATTTTGTTGGTTAATGTTACATAATACTGTTTTTCTTTGCAAGTATGTACAACTTTGGCTCTGGCATAGTTTAAATAAGCATTTGTTTAAGGTGGCATAGATTCTAATACAGATTCTATGTCAAAATGCATTCTGAATTAGAAAAGTCAGTTTTGTAAGTAAATATACCTATTTTAAAGGATCCTGTTAACATACAGTAACTTTTTTTCTTCTAAAATGTAGGTGCATTTCCCCCCACATCTTAATTTGGTTATTATTTATTTGTGGTATGATCAGTGTCTTACCCTCCTCTGTCTAACATCCGTAAGCCATAAAAGATACCAATTCTTAAAGCTGAAAGTCATTGCTTCATTATATCTGTGTACTAAAGTGCTTTATAACTCTGTGTTATGTAAGTGTATTCTTGGTAAACAAGATATATCCAGAGATATATTACATATATAGGAAATGCTACCATCCCCTTTCAACTGTTTTTAAAATTTTAGTTTCTGTTTTTAAACGAGTATTAGAGATTTGAAAATTGAATAATTTTAGATAATGTAGAAAGAAAATTAGTGAAGCAAAATGTGTCCTTTTTGTTTGAAACAGACTTATAAAGAACATTTAGAAGGACAGAAACATAAAAAAAAAGAAGCTGCATTGAAAGCCTCACAAAATACCAGCAGCAGCAACAACTCTACTCGTGGGACTCAAAATCAGCTACGTTGTGAGCTCTGTGATGTGTCTTGTACAGGAGCAGATGCATATGCTGCCCACATTCGTGGTGCTAAGCATCAGAAAGTAGGTGTTTTTTCCCCACATGCCCATATGTCTTAGTCTGTTTTCTTTTACTTTTCAATGGGGGTTTAAGTAAAGGCAGCTTCAAACTTGGAAAACTGAATGCACAGGCTTGCTGATATGCTAATAATACATAAAGGTAACATCAAATAGTCATTACTTAAAGAGGGAGGGACTAGAGACCTCTTTTTACATTGAACTAAGCCATTTATTTCACTAGTTGAAATTGTCACGTGATTATTTTCCTCCTCTCATTTTACTTAATTATAGATTGCCTGCATGTGGCCAAATCATTTCATCCTTTTTTGCCTTAGTATCTTCACCTGGTAGTAGATGAAATATGTAACTATATCTGCTCCTTAGAGATTATCTTGAAAACAGTTTTGTATATAAAAACATGTAACAGGAAAAAATACAACAAAGAAAAATAAAGTTTAGATTTTCATTCTATGTTGTTCCAGACAAACTTCAAAATCTGCATTTTTGAGGCTCCTGACAAGTAAATGTGCTTTTGTTTTATAGGTGGTTAAATTACACACAAAACTTGGTAAGCCCATTCCTTCAACAGAACCAAACGTTGTTAGCCAAGCTACGTCTTCAACAGCTGTATCTGCTTCAAAACCAACTGCCTCTCCTTCAAGCATTGCAGCAAGCAATTGTACTGTGAATACTTCATCAATTGCAACTTCTTCAGTGAAGGGTCTTACGACTACAGGAAATTCGTCTCTTAATAGCACATCTAACACTAAAGTATCAGCAGTGCCTACAAATATGGCTGCCAAGAAAACATCTACCCCCAAAATAAACTTTGTTGGCAAGTACTAAATATCCTCTGTGTTCCTTCTAACTCTGTCAAACTGGTATTTCTCCTCCATTGTAGTACTAACCTTTCTGTTTATGCTCTTGTTCCCGTTTCTTTTCTATGGGTCCTTATTTCTTCACACAATTGCCTTTTGTGGGATTTTTGGTTTTGTTTTGTTTAAAGTCTATGCTGTACTGATTTCTTCCCTTTAGTCACATATATATACCTGTTTCTTCCCTGGTCACAGAGACCTTTTCCCATTTCTGTAATCTCAAGCTGTTAACCTAAATCTTTCTCTACTTCTTTACTTCGTACCCAGTCCTCAGTCACCTATACTATTTCCACTCTACTCTTCTCTGAAACTGTTTTCACTGCTCACTAAAGACTTAACTTGCCAAATCCAGTGGCCAGTTTTCAGTTTCATCCTGTTGACTTTCCTAATATTTAATACAGTTAACTGCTATACCGTAAAGTTTAAGGTACATCTCTATCTCTAGATTTTATGTCTTTTCTCAGTTCTTACTGGTTCTCTTATTAAATGATAATGTTACTGCGATTCTAACCCTAACTTTCATCTTATTCCTGTCTTCATGGTTGATGTACATGGTGTACACTTCCAAGTGTACAGTGACTTTAAAATCTTTTTAGCAAGTTCAAAGCCTCTACCTGAGTTGGAGAGTCATATTTTAATTATTCTCTAGTCATCCTGTGGATGTTTCTGTAGGTATATTCCCAGGTGTCCCTTTCTGACTCATTAATTCATCACAAGAGTACCATGAAATCACCTCATAAAATTGCTGATTTCTCAAATGGAAAACTTTTCTAACATTCTTTCTTATTTATTGTTTCCTCTAGCTGTTTAGGTTTTTTTTGTTTCTACCTCTACAGTATTTATGCCAAAAAATATATATATTTCTTCTTTATTACCATCATCTCCAGTCTCTTCCTTAAAGTTTTGTCTCTGACTTCCACCAGTCTCTTCAACATATTCTCCACACTTTCCTCAGTCATTTTATTAAAATACATATCACATTGTCTTAGTCTTCTGCTTAAAAATCTTCAGTGGCCTTCCCTTTGTAATAGGATAAAGTCTACATTCCCTAATACTGTCATACAAGGTCCTTCCCTGCCTACCTCTTCAGCCTCATATCTTAACATTATTACATAGGTGTAAAAGTATTCATCTTGGATTACTAATGCTTCCTTGAATTTATTATAGTCTTTTTAATGCTTCGTTTCAGTACTTTTATTTACATATTATTTGTTCTATTCAAGGCATCGTTCTCTCCTTTCTTGTTGATCAGTTCATACTAATTGTTCTTTCAAATCCCAGTTCAAGTGTCACCCCCCTTTCCTTATGGGAAAAGGTATTATGGCTCCTTTCTTCTACATTTTCACAATACTCATTTCATACTTAACTGCAGAACATATCACATTATAATTATGTTTTCCTTTAAATTGTGGTCATTAAAAAGGTAGCTACATTGTCTTACTCTTACTATCTCACTAGAACCGTCATAAGTATTGAGATTTTTTTTGTATTTTTTTTTTTTTTTTGAGACAGAGCCTCAAGCTGTCGCCCTGGGTAGAGTGCCGTGGCATCACAACTCACAGTAATCTCCAACTCCTAGGCTCAAACGAGTCTCTTGCCTCCGCCTCCCAAGTAGCTGGGACTACAGGCACCCACCACAACGCCTGACTATTTTTTGGTTGCAGCCATCATTGTTTGGCAGGCCCAGGCTGGATTCGAACCCGCCAGCTCAGGGTGTATGTGGCTGGTGCCTTAGCTGCTTGAGCCACAGGCACCAAGCTGAGATTATTGTATTATAAATACTTAAAGATGTTTTTGAAAGAATATTTTAAAAGCAGAAATTCACCATATGATATTCTCTAGGACAGTTATTTAAAGTAAGTTTAAGCCAGGTGAGGTGGTTCACACCTGTATTCCTAGCACTCTGAGAGGCCAAGGTGGGTGGATTGTGTGAGCTCAGGAGTTTGAGACCAGCCTGAGCAAGAGCAAGACCTCATTTCTAAAAAAAAATAGGCAGGCGTGTGGCTGGTGCCTGTAGTCCCAGCTACTTGGGAGGCTGACGCAAGAGGATCTCTTGAGGCCAAGACTTGCAGATGTCCTCCAACTACAGCCTGTGGGCCACATGTGGCCTCACCAAGGACATTTATCCGGCCTGCTGGGTGTTTTTGCTGCCGCTGCCTGTCCTGCTTAGTAGCCAACTCATCCTAGGGCCCGCAGTCCAGCCCTCCTATGATCTGAGGGACAGTGAACTGGCTCCCTGTTTAAAAAGTTTAAGGACCCCTGACTTAGAGGTTGCTCTGAGCTGTGACGCATGGCACTCTATTAAGGACAACTGAATGAGACACTTGTCTCAAATAAATATACAAAGTAAATTTAATTGACTATTAAAATGAAAGCTATGATTTATAATTCTCCTGTTTTTGAGGTTATTTATACTTTCAGTTCAGAACAACAATGTAAAAAATCTTTTATAAATAACTCTTGATGTAAGTTCATACCTGATTTCAGCAGATAATGAGTTGAAAGAAATAAAACCTAAATTGATTCTCTTGCTTTCATAGTAGAAAACTTTGTTTGAATTAATTTTCAAAGAAAACTAGTCACTGAACTTACTTTTTTTTTTCTTTTTGAGACAGTCTCATTCTATTGACCCAGGGTAGAGTACAGTGGCCGCAGCAACTTCTGGGTTTGAGAAATCTTCTTGGCTTAGTCTCAATAGTAGCTGGGATTACAGGCACCTGCCATGACTCCTGGTTAATTTTTCTATTTTTAGTAAAGATGGAGTCTCACTCTTACTCAGACTGGTCTCAAATTCCTGACCTCAAGCAGTCCTCCTGCCTCAGCCTCCTAGAGTGCTAGGATTACAGGCATGAGCCACTGTGCTTCACTGAACTTAACCTACTATTCATTTGTTCAGTCATTTGCCAAGAAACCAATAAGGATACAAACATAAGTTAGGATTAGTCTCTAACATTTCACTTTTAGGGAATGGGGGCTTTTGGGGGGGATGTCATTGGATGTTCAAAGATGGAGAAGGAAAAATTTCAGAAATGTATTTTGTTAATAGGATAAAAAAGTCAAATAGTTTATGTGGTTCATCACAGTTCTGATCTATTTTGTTTCTAACAGTAGTTTGACTATTGGTAGAAAAGAACTTTATCTGAAGTTTTCATTTTATCAGGTTTATGTGATTATATAAAAATAAAATTGCTGTAATTGATGCTTTTCTAGGTGGCAATAAGCTGCAGTCGACAGGAAATAAATCAGACGACTTAAAAGGAACTGAATGTGTTAAAAGTACTCCTGTTACTTCTTCCGTCCAAATTCCAGAAGTAAAGCCAGACACAGTGTCAGAACCAGTCACACCTACATCTCTTGCTGCTTTGCAGAGTGATGTGCAGCCAGTGGGCCATGATTATGTGGAGGAGGTAATCTGTTTAAAAATGCTATTGCTGTGAATTTAATTAGATAAAGGAAAAGGTGTCACTTTGTTGTAAGTATGCTTTACATGTGAAGTTAAATTATACTTAATTGTGTTTTAGATTTAGGTTGCTTGTGAAAGGATATCAAAGGAATCTTTGTTATATAAAAGAATGCCCTTTAAACCTGCGTAAATGACATCACAGAGGTTTTTTTTGTTAATTTTCTGTCGCAACCCGTCGGGCTCCTGTGGCCCTGGTCTCGGTTAGCGCGAGAAGCGGATTAGAAGTACAAGCTTGTGGAAGGCGGGCTAGCCCTTACTTTCTGGGTAGCCCTGAGCAACCTCCGCACCAGCCTTTTATTGAGCCAGAACAACACAGGTGAGGGGAGAAATTAACAATGACTACGTGCTGAGGGCAAGGGCTCCTCCCACAAGGAACTCCTGTGGAGGAATGGCCCGAGGTCCAGGCCTCAGCTGCAGATCATCTTGCTCGGATGTTGGCGTCTCCTACAATTTTCATGTATTCATTTTCATGTTAATACTGTCACTATATTATAAATAACTTTCCATTTATTGACACACATTCTTATGCTCTCCAACTATCATAAAGCATAAAACACTTAAAACTTCTGAGTAGCAAAATTTGATGGAGAGAGCCAGTATTTTCCTTTTTGAACAATCAGTTTTCTGTGTAAAATTAAGGTTACCAACCTAACAGAACCAGTTTATTTGGTTTCTCAAGTTTATTACAAAACTATTCCTATTTTATGGGTAAAGTAAACTCAGTTAAAATGGAGGAGTGAGGGGCCCCCAGAGGGGCTTGAATAAATATTTTCTATTAGAAAGATCATACAATAGTGTAATACTATTTACTTGCACTTTATTATATAACATGTATAAGTTTTCTGAGCTTCAGTGTCTACATCTATAAAATTGAGACTTTTTGCAACAAAGTTGTGAAGATTAAATAAATGAAATAAAGTACCTAGCACTGTGCCTAACATAGTAGGTTTGGGTAAATACTTATTCTTTCATCCTTTTTCTTTTCTTTTCTTTTTTTTTTTTTTTGGGGACAGAGCCTCAAGCTGTCCCCCTGGGTAGAGTACTGTGACATCACAGCTCACAGCAACCTCCAGCTCCTGGGCTCAAGCGAGTCTCCTGCCTCAGCCTCCCAAGTAGCTGGGACTACAGGTGACCGCCAAACACCAGCTATTTTTTGGTTGCAGCCATCATTGTTGTTTGGTGGGCCTGGGCTGGGTTTGAACCTGCCACCTTAGGTATATGTGGCTGGCGCCTTAGGCACTTGAGCCACAGGCGCCGAGCCCTTTCATCCTTCTTCTATCAAGGAAAATTACATATTATATTGAGTTCTTTGTTTACAACATGGTTATTTAGGTTAGTTAATTTATACATAGTTCACAAACAATTCTAACTTGAAGTGTTATCTTTTAGAATGGTAGGATTTGGTTGTCTAAAAAAAATGATTCTTGGCCAAAACACCCTAAAATCTAGCTGCTGCTTAATTAAGTAATCCTAAACTTTAGAGAATTACATTCAGAGCCAGTGTTAATAGTGTGCACACTTTGATCCATTGTAGACTTCATTATAACATTTCAGTCTTATTTGTCATCCTGATTTTGTAGTTAGAAAAAACTCGTCTTGATCTTCTGTGATTACATATATGAAATCCTGAGTTTTTTGAGAATTTCAAATACCAAAATACTGCTGTTAGTCATTTTTATTTCCATTTCCAAGAACAATACTTGGCCAGTAGCGGGGATTCATTAATTATTAAAGAACGTAAGGGATGTAGCTGCATTTAAATCTAAATGTTTACGTATAGACGGCAACATTAAAATGAAGGATAATTGCAAAAGCATATATATGCTGACACATCTGACAAAACTCCAGTTAAAAATTCCAGGGCTCTGGCTCAGCGCCTGTGGCTCAAGTGGCTAAGGTCCCACCCACATAAACCTAAGGTGGCGGGTTCAAATCCAGCCTGGGCCCGCCAAACAACAATGACAGCTGCAACCAAAAAATAGCCGGGTGTTGTGGCAGGCGCCTGTGGTCCCAGGTACTTGGGAGGCGGAGGCAGGAGACTTGCTTGAGCCCAGGAGTTGGAGGTTGCTGTGAGCTGAAATGCCATGGCACTCTACCCAGGAGGACAGTTTGATTGAGGCTCCTGTCTCAAAAAAAAAAAAAAAAAAAAAATTCCAGGGCTCTGTGGCTCATGCCTATAATCCCAGCTAGTTGGGAGCCTGAAGGAGGAGGATTACTTGAACCCAGGAGTTCAAGACCAGCCTTGGCACCATGGTGAAACCCCATCTCTAAAATAATTTTGTATTTTAGTTAGCCCAGTATGGTTGCACATGCCTATAGTTGCAGCTACTGGAGATGCTGAGGTAGGAGGATTATTTGAGACCAGATGCTGGAAGCTGCAATGAGCTATCATCCCGCACCACTGCACTCCAGCCTAGGCAATAGAGCAATACCACATCTCTTGTAAAACACAAAAGAAACAAACAACAGCAACAAAAAAAAAAAACAAGAATCCAGCATTTATTCTCATTTCAAATTTTAACTATTGACAACTTTAACAAAAATAGATTGGGTTCATGAATGAAATCTTGAACGATAACATTTCTGTTAAGATTCTTGAATTTTTTTTCCTTGCCAAGGTACGAAATGATGAAGGAAAAGTAATTCGCTTCCATTGTAAACTATGTGAGTGCAGCTTTAATGATCCCAATGCGAAGGAGATGCATTTAAAAGGGCGAAGACACAGACTTCAATATAAAGTGAGGATTTCAACTATTACCTTTTTTTCTTTAACAACTCAGAACATTCTTTATACTAAACCATGCATCTAACCAAAATTCACCCAGTCCATGAATTCCCATTGTAAGATGAATTCCCATTTGACATGTTGCTAGACTTATTTGGAAGACTCAGTTGTTTGGTTTTTATTTATCACTATTATTGTTAAATGTAAGAAGACCAATGTGACTGTGTTATCGGTTTTATTTATTTTTGTGTGTATGTGTGTGCGTTATCAGTTTTAGTATGGCAGAATAAAACAAATATTATTTGGATTAAGTAATATAAAGATAATTGCTTCACAAAGAGTGTTTTTAAAAAGTGTTAGGTCTCCACTTACCTCCTTTATTTTGGTAGATTTCCCACAAAAATGAATTTTGCAATGAGTTGATATGTTGGGAAATCCCTTCATTTGTCTTAGGAATTCTTTATTGAACATACTTCAAGTGCTAAGATAAAGCAAAGTACATAGATTCATGTTTTCTCTTTCAAACATGGAGGTGATAAAAATCAATAAAAAGAATCTTAAGGGTAGTACTTTTATACAAAAAGAAACTTCAACCAAAACACAGACATTTAGAATTATCTATTTATAAACAAGTACAAATGACCCTTAAACAACACAGATGTTAGAGGCAGCAACACCCCTCCCTGGTGCAGTCGAAAATTTGCTTATAACTTGACTCCCCCAAAAACCTAGAAATAGCCTACTACTGACTGGAAACTGCTTAATGTAAATGGTCAATTGACACTTATTTGACATGTTATATGTATTGTTGAGTACATTACAATAAAGTAAGCTAGAGAAAATAATGTTAAGAAAATCATAAGGAAGCAAAAATACATTTATTATTACGTGGAAGTAGATCATCATAAAAGACTTCATCTTCATCATCTTAACATTGAGTAGGAGGAGGAAGAGACGATATTGGCCTTGCTGTCTAGGGGTGGCAGAAGTGGAAGAAAATCTGCAGCGTATAACTGAACCTGTGTAATTCAAACCCATGCTGTTCTAAGGTCAACTGTAAAATAAAATTAAGTATCTGTCTATCTCCCTAAGGATTTCATATGATTTTCTGTTGTTCAGTATTAAGTTAGGTACTTTTTACATCCTAAGTATATAATTTTAAACTTCACTAATTAAAATTTTTTATTAATGTTTTCTGAATCTTTTCTGATTCAACTTAATTATGTATCAGTTTTGCTTTGTAATAGAAAACTTGATGAAGGGGTATGTGGCGTTGTATGATTAAAAATACATGTAGATTGTTTGGGAAGCTACTTTTTAAAAGTGTCTTATTACATTAACAGAAAAAAGTAAATCCAGATTTGCAAGTGGAAGTAAAGCCTAGTATTCGAGCCAGAAAAATTCAAGAAGAGAAAATGAGAAAGCAAATGCAGAAGGAAGAGTATTGGCGAAGACGAGAGGAAGAGGAACGCTGGAGAATGGAAATGAGGTAATATCTTTAACTTTTAATATTCATAGCATGGTTGTTCTGGGTGTATGACTTCCAGTCAAAGCAATACAGGTTTATTTAATAGACTTTTAGTTATCACTTTTCAGGAAGATCCTAGGTCTAGGAAAGACATACATTCAAATTAAGTTATTGGCTATATTAGAATTTGACCATGGCCTTGGTATTAGGAATTAAGTGGTAATTGGTATCTTATATATATTAAATATGTGAAGTAATAGCTTATTATAAATAAGTGCCTTAGTTTAAAACAAGCAAAATAGAACATATAGTTATATTAAAATATAAAATGTCATGTTGAGATAGACTTTATATCTTTACACTGTACAGTTCACTGGTTTTCAGTATATTTACAGAGTTTTGAAACACACCACAGTTGATTTAGGAAGAAAAGTTAATTTAGGCTCAGCACCTATTGCTCAGTGGTTAGGCACCAGCCATATGCACCAAGTCTGGTGGGTTCGAACCAGCACAGGCCTGCTAAACAACAGTGACAACAACAACAAAAATAGCTGGGCGTTGTGCAGAACCCCTGTAGTCCCAGCTACTTGGGAGGCTGAGGCAAGAGAATTGCTTAAGCCCAAGAGTTTTAAGTTGCTATGAGCTGTGACATCACAGCACTCTAGCGAGGGGGTAACATAGTAAAACTCTGGTTTCTTACTAAATCTTACTAAATAAAAAAATTTTTTTCTTTGAGACAGAGTCCAAAAAATCCATTTAACAGTCACTTCTCCATTTGTCCCTAGTACCTCCGCTCCCAAGCCCTAGACAACCACTAGTCTACTTTCTGTCTATAAATTCTGGACATTTCAGATAAATAGAATCATACAATGTATAGCTTTTTTGTCTGACTTTCACTTGGCATAATGTTTTCATGATTCATCTGTGTTGTAGTGAAAAAAAAATATTTTGCTTTTTATGGCTGAATAATACTTCATGGTGTGGATATACTACATTATAGTGCATTTTGTGTATTCATTGGTTCATGGGTATTTGAGTTGTTTCCATGTTTTGGCTAATGTGAATACTGCTTGGAGTATTTTTGTGTACATTTTTAAATATTTATTTATTTTTTAATCTCCACAGATAGAGGCTAGTTCTCCTTGTAGAGAAATAGCCTTAAAATATAACTTAAAAAATAAAATAGGAGCAAAGGCATACTATATACATATTTTATAAGCTTTTTTTTTTTTTTCACTTACATGTGTTCAACTTTTTCTTTTGGAGACCAAGTCTCATTATGTCACCCTCAGTAGAGTGCTGTGGCATCATAGCTCACAGCAGCCTCAAACTCTTGGGCTTAGTTAGTTCTTTAGCCGTAGCAGGGATTACAGGCACCCACCACAATGCCTGGCTATTTTTTTGTGGTAGTTGTCATTATTGTTTAGCAGGCCCAGGCTGAGTTCGAACCCACCAGCCCCCATGTATGTGGCCAGCACCCTAACCATTGAGCTATGGGCGCTGAGCCACATGTGTTCAACTTTTTAAAAAATTAAATTATGATTCTTTTCTTCTCATGGTAGCATAGAATTCTTTTGTGCAGAATAAAATAATTTTGTGCATAATTCTTTTGTGCAGAAAAAAATGAAATTTTCTTTATAACCAGACCCTTACTGTGAGACATTTAGGTTGTTTCCAATATTTCCATATTATTAATAATAATACACTGAACCTCCTCAGGCTGTATTATTGCATATCTAGTGTTTAGTTGCCAATAAAAAGTCCTAAAAATGGAATTGTTTGATTAAAGGATACTCAGCGTATCTCCCTGTACTAAATTGTGTAACCCAGTGGTTCTCAAAGTTTTTGGTCTCAACATACTTGATTATTATTGAGGACTCCAAAGAGCTTTTATTCATGTCTGTCAGCACTTGGGAGGCCAAGGTGTGTAGATTGCCTGAGCTCACAGGCTTGAGACCAGCCTAGGCCAGAGTGAGACCTCGTCTCTAAAAAATACCTGGGTATTGTAGCAGGTGCCTATAGTCTCAGCTACTTGGGAGGCTGAGGCAAGAGTATTGCTTTAACCCAAGAGTCTGATATTGCTGTGAGGTAAGACG